AATGGTATATTTTAATATTTAAGTCGCACCTGAGTATAAGTCGCAGGATCACCCAACCAATGAGGAAAAAGTGCAGCTTAGTCCGAAAAATACGGTACTCAGTTTCTTTGCGACTGCTGAAAATGGTAGCTCTCTGGCATTTTCATTTTGTAAAGGGTAGCTCATTAGAGAAAAAAGGTTGGAGACCCCTGTTCTAGGCAATGTGGGTGAAGTGTCTTGCCTAAGGACACAACAACCCGCTGTGGCACCTGTTTCCAGTATTAAAGGTGCACTATAATGATGATGTTGAGACCCTCCACCAGAAAACTTAAGTCGTTTAGATCAATAATGCAATTTACAAAAAACCAAAATGTAAACTCGTTATCCACAAATAGTTTAATAACAGGCCAAAGTACATAATGTGTCTCTTTTAAATGTGTGTGGTTTCATGTGGTGTTGGTGGTGTTTTATTTGAGTGCGCTTAAATGACATTTGGGCGATGTGTTTTCGCAGAGGAGATCGAGAAGAAGCTCACGGCCTACAGGAAGGGCTGCCGCATCTGGAACATGCTTATTTTCTGCCAGGTGAGTGACGCCAATGAAGCGCTCTGAAGACAGTATCAGGTCAGCTCTGCAGGGACTTTGCACAATACTGTACTCGTATCCAGCAAATCATCACTGTGGGACACTTCTCAGAGTAAAACGTCACTCCAGACCACAAAATATTGTAATGAGGTCTTAAATTGTGGCACTGGTGGTTCAGTTGGTTGACAAGGATCTTATAACACAATGCCGATAATTGGACTCGAACCCGAACCAGCGTAGACGCGCAGTGGTTAGCTATGTAGGGCAAGTGAGTCATTTCTGTGTGGAGTTTGAATGTTCTGTCCATGTCTGTGTAGGTTTCACATAAGTGTACAAAGGATGAGGACCTACATGAAATTCAGTGACTTCTAATACAACTGTAACTTTAAACAGTGCATCCTCGGCTAATCACGACTCTATTTCAAAACCCACATAGATTTTCTATAAAACGTGACCCAGATGTGACTACAAATAAATGATCTACTTTTGTCTGTTCTCAAACCATTCACAGTTGTTTTCAAGATGTGTGTAAAATCCCTCAGTCGTCCAGGTAGAATCCATGGCACAAGGAGAAATTCAGTTTGTCAACTGGACAAAATTTGATTTTGGTCGAATATGTTTGGTAGCTCATCCAAGCTGCTTCTTCAATTCTGGTCAGACGCTGGTGGACACTGCCTTATGTCTTCCTGCAGGGAGGAGCTAACTACACTGAAATAACTCTGAAACTAACACACCTACTTGTTTACAGTTTCTGTTAGTTATCCCAGCCTATTCATCTGTACTGAGTGTGGGGTCATATTATCATAACCATTCAGACCCATAATGACCTGATCTGGCTACTCCTAGTGTTCTCTTTGTTTTTTTTGGTTTAGGTTTGAGGGTAGAGTTATAAAATGGAGACGGATGATGTTTGAGGCCTCCATTTCTGTTCAAGGAAGGATTCTCTTTCTTAACAAAAATAGCCTCTTTAATTGTTTGTTAAGAAAGATGATGCTGGAGGATCTCCCTCACTTAGTGCAAGTTCAATTTGCCTAGCTAAGTACCAGAAATTGTAAACTAATCATAATAATAATAATAATACTACATGGGACTTATATAGCCCTTTGTTGGACACTCAAAGACTCTTTACAAACAAATAAAAGTAACACTGTAGAAAGCGGGGAGTCATGGGGGGAATGCTAGTTTGAACAGGTGAGTTTTTAGATGGATTGAGTTAGTGAATTCCAGAGGGAGGGGGCGGCAGCAGCAAAGGCTCGGTCCCCCAAGGTCCAGTGCTTTGTCCTGACGAGGGTGGAGGTTGCTATTGGCTGATCTGAGGCGGCAGGTGGGACAGTGCAGACAGAGGAGGTCGGTGAGATAGCGAGGGGCCAGGTTATGGAGGGACTTGTAGGTGATGAGGAGAACCTTGTATTGGGTGTGGTATTGTACGAGGAGCCAGTGGAGTTGCTTAAGGACAGGAGTGATGTGGTCTGTGGTGCGGGTGTGGGTGAGGAGGTCGACGGCAGAGTTTTGAATGTATCGCTGTTTTTGGAGGTGGGTGGAGGGGAGACCGAACAGGAGGCTATTGCGCTATTGAGTCGAGTCTGGAGGAGATGAAGGCATGAATGAGAGAGGGAGGGGCGGAGGCGATATAATAATAGGTGTGTTAGTTTCAGAGTAGTTTCAGTGTAGTTAGCTCCTCCCTGCAGGCAGATATAAGACAGTGTCCAACAGCATCCGACCAGAACTGAAGAAGCAGCTTGAATGATCTGCGAAATGTTTTCAACCAAAATAAACTTTTGTTCATTTGTCAAATTTAATTTCTCCTTGTGCCATGGATTCTACCTGGACGACTGAGGGATTTTACACACATCTTGAGAACAACTGTGAATGATTTGAGAAGTGACTTGATGAGCGAGAAAAGTAGCTCATTTATTTGTAGTCACATCTGGGTCAAGTTGAATAGAAATTCAGTGTGGGTTTTGAAATAGTCGCGATTAGCCGAGGATGCGCTGTTTAAAGTCGCACGGTGTAACACTGTGTCTACTGGAGGGTCCGTTACCTGCTTGTCTCCATGGAGATGTGCCCAGAATGTTCTACAGTATGGCCATAAACTTATGAATCTCCACTGACACTTGCAAGCCAAATTACAAATTACAATGTCAGATCTTACTCAGTTAAGAATGGATTTTTTGAGATAATTTTGAGCAACAAATAACACCCACAGTTGAATCAATGCAGGACAGATTAGTGGACAATTTAAACCGAAGCATTTACATCGTCATGGAGACAAACAGGTTGCGGACCCATTCTAGAAAGGTTACACAGTGCGCCAGTTGTAGATTTTTACTCAGAAGCCTCATTATCTGTAAAATGTCAAACCACCACACTACACCTGCCCACCTGTGCTGCACCTCACTTCAAAGTAATGACGAACTTTTCTGAACTTTTAGACGCTCGGAAAGGAAAAAAAAGAGTGAAAGACCAATCGTTGCAGTAAATTTAGGAGCAGATGATCTCAAAGCTGCAAAAACACATATTAATCTTATAACGTGGGGTATTAGAAGGGCTCGCTGAATAGAGTATATGTGGAACTGCCAAATGGAAGAAGTCCAAAAAGCAAAAATGTAGAAATGTCCTAAGTGAGCTACGGTACTGCCACTCTTTTATTAGTTCGATTAGAAGGCTGGGCACGTTTTTTAGAAGCAAAATGTGTTGCCTCAGTACAGATTATTATTGTATAAGCAGCTCATGAAGTAGAAATGAAACTGCTGTATACGGTCTGCATCGAATTATAAAGAATTATCCCCCGAGAATCAGGAAGTGCGCTGTTGGCATGCCAGTTGTCGTTAGCTTTACCGTGATCTGGCCTCTGAAAGTTGTGAAAAGCGCTTATAAACTCATGGTGAATAATTAGGATGCTAAGAATACACACGGTAAAGAAGGGGTCATTTTGTTTTAGTTTTTTAATGTTTTGAAGACAATATAAATCAGATCCAGTTCTTTTTAATTTGATCAAATATTACATTTAGCAGCGGTGAAAATGTAGGTGATAACAGGGGTGGTCTAAGGGGATTTCTTCATATATCGGATTAGTAATTTTTCTTACCATAGATTTTAAAATACTGATATCAGCATCGGTAAGTATTGGTCATTGATAACAGAAGGACATTTACAAAACAACTGGGAAGACACTGGACATTACCCGGTAATAGCTCAGTTGGTAAGAACGTTTGCCCACTGGCCCAGAGGTTGGCGGTGCGATTCCAGCTCCCACAGATAAATGCTGTCGTTTGCTGTCTTAACCCTCCTCGCCCCCAGCGTCTACGTACACCGGTGTATGAACGTGTGTGCATTAGGCTTAGGGTTTGTTCGCTCAACTGTAGGCAGGTACTTTTTTTATTTAACCAATCACTGCTGTTTGATCGTGACATATGTAATGTGCCAAATCCCGTAGGAAGAAGGGCAATAACGTCTTTCCCCTTGATAAAATTCACCAAACATTCTCTTTGTTCCAGCTTTAAATCCTTGATCTCGAGAATCGTTGCCAACACAGAATGTCTGTCTTCGTCTACATCCGTCTTAACCGCTTTGTTTACTGTTGTGCTGTACCACAAAATGGACCCAGATAGGAGCTTGAGTTTGATGTCATGGCTTCACAGCTCTTCGCTGATTGGCTGGTGTGCAGTCTTCAACTTCCGGGGTTCTTGCAAACTGTCTAGTGTATTCCGATTCCTGACCTAGTGGCTGGAGAAAAATGAAATTGAGCAGAGGCACTAGGTAGCGCGAGCCTGACTAGTTTTGAGAGCCTTAATGGTGGAAAAGCGCTGTTAGTCTGTCAATTCTAAATTTAAAGTTTTATTTGTGGCTACATTTTGTTTTTCACATTTTGATATATTTTTTTTTAAAGCAGACCTACTGTATTGTATCCATGTTATAGTTGTTTCCTCTCACCGTTTGCTAATCCAAAATTGGAGTGATTTGTGTATGTTTGAATAATCTTTAATCACTTATTTTCAAGATGTCATTATCCCATTACTGGCATATGCCCTCCTCTGTATTTTTTTGTTCTTCTATTTTATGCATAGAGATACGCATAGCATTCAGCAATGTTGCATACTAATTTTGCAATTTAAAAAAGTAAAAAAAAAAAAAAAATTATAATAATAATATCACACATTTATGTAGATTATGATTATATAGCATACATAAGCACAACAGGTCTTCTATAAAACAAAACTGTATGGAGCATTGGTGCAAACAGTGAAAATCCAAACTGATCTATGTATTTGTGTATTTGTGTGCAGGGAGGACCAGGACACCTGTATCTGCTGAAGAATAAAGTGGCCACATTCGCTAAAGTGGAAAAGGAGGAAGACATGATCCAGTAAGACAATGCATTTTTACATTTATTTAACATGAAAATTGCCAGGTTTACAGGAGAACTTTAATTCTGAATAAAAATGAATTCCGATTTAAAAAGACCCTGTAAACATTTAATTCCTAATGAAAATGATTATTCAGAATTAAACTTAATTCCAAAGTAAGTGGGTGGTTTATTCCGATTTTGAATTAATTTATTCCTGGCTTTGGACTTTCATCCACGTCTCTTTGGATTTGCGAGCGGGATGCAGGAGTGGGCTGAGGTAGAGCAGCCTTTCCCACCCCCAGACGCTGAGCGGAATTAAATAAAGGCAATTTAACGTGTTTTTCATGTAAACCTAAATTCAGAATTATTATTTTCATGTAAATGCATAGGAGAATATTTTAATTCAGAACAATTAATTCAGAATTTTAAAAAAAATAATTTAAAGGGCCCATCTCATGCAAAATCAACTTTTCAGCGCTTTCTGCCTTCTACGAGTGATGTGTGGGCCTTGTATATGTCGCCAAAGTGTTTTTTAGATTGATTTGGCATTTTTTTGTAGCGTTTATTTGACATAGCAGAAAGCGCTTCGCCTCCGCCCCCTCCCCCATTCCACCACCTCCGCCCCGCGAGGGTACACGATATAATAAGTTTATCTACTAGAGGTTTTTAATACTTTACCAATCAGTAATGTTCAGCTGATGCTGACGTGGTGCTTGAGCTTCGTGCACCTCAAAGTCCTCGTCCGATTCCGGGTCCAACACATGCGGCTGAACGCGCTGTATCACCATGATGAATAAAAGTTTATTCCTACCGCTGTCAGGGTGCACGTCTGTCTCCCCCTCCCTCCCTGAGATGGGCGGAGGAAGGGCGGCTCACTCAGAGCCTACGTCACGTTTGGAGGGCGGAGCCTGTGCTTTCTCAGGACGAGCGGGGGGATGAGCAATAGTCGGTCTTTCATAGTTCCTGGTCTGTGACTGACTCCAAGAAATCAGTAAGATTTCATAACTATTGTGTAATGGATGTTCCAAAACCCAAATTGTGCTTGTTTATGTGCAGAAGATACAATGTGAAAAGAGTTATTTTGCATGAGATGGGGCCTTTAAATGTTGGTCGATCTGTCGGTCCATTGTACTTTTCAATAATCACATCCTCAAACTTTTGCATAGGACTCCACATGGACAGAAACAGCCCTGCTCTTTACTGTCTCTAATACTTTTGATACTGTTTTGTGTTGTAGGTTTTGGCGGAGACTGAGCAGACTGATGAGCAAACTCAACCCAGAGCCAAACCTCATACATATTATGGGATGTTACGTACTGGGCAGCGCCAATGGAGAAAAGGTACGTCTCTGCATAGTTTGACTTCCTCCACTGTAATGTTTAGTTGTGCATACATTTTTATCGACATGAACACTGCTGGATTAGGCTTTGAATAACTACTTTTTTATGCATTTCTTTTTTCTTTGGGCAAAGTACTTCAACCATAATACTTATCACCAGCATCTGCAGTGGTGTGGTCGCTTTGTTTTGGTACAAGAGCTCGCTGACTTTGCTATATAAGTGCACTCTGCTTCGCTTTGCTCAAAACAAACTCTTTTCTTTTTTTTTTGCGAGTGAACACTAGCAATGTTTTAAAGGGATTGTGAGAGCTTGGGACACATTAGCACTATGGAAATTAATGTAAACTACCTCTACTTTTGTGGTTTGAAATTCAGGGAGCCCATCTTTAAACACATAAAAAAAAGATTTGAAGATCACATATTGTGCCCGAGCCTGTTACATAGTTAAAATGTGCAACACCCGTGGTTCATTATGTTATTATTTACACATTTGAAATCACAATATTAATTAAAAACCAGGGTCGGTGTTACGGATTTGTTGGGGCCGCTGTGTAAATGGCTCATATCGCACACGCCACGGAAAGCCGCCCTCTGCAGACAATCACCCGTATCAGTGATTAAGAAAATAAAATTGTAGAACGAAGTTAGTACAGAGCAGTGGGCGTGTGCTGGTGGCTGTGAACACGGCATGATTGGGAATATGGCGTCTTGAGAATAATTGATTAAAGATTAGTCAAACATGCACAAATCATTCCAAATACAACTTCCAGAGGGTAAATGAGAATGGAACGGCTACAAAATGATTAAAATCCTCTGAAAAATCGATTTTGAAAAGTTAAAGTGTCTCCCAGTACATTCAGGGCAATCTTGAACAATACTTTTGTTACTTTTTTATCACTGCGTAAATGATTGCAGTCTTGCATCCGGCCCCATCGACTGACTCTGACACAGAAGCTCACAAATCACATTATATTACAATAACAGAGATTAAAAAATATTAAAATGGTAATAAAGCAGCAATAAAAAATGCCAAGAGACTGGATACAAATAAGACATAATTATAAAATTATATATATATGTACAAGTAAGTAAAAAACAAATATAGTATATTATAAATGCAGTGTGTTACAGTTATATACAATACTTATACTTATCTGTTACATAAAGGTAAGTTGTTGTACAGTTGTAGGGAGTATTATCTGTTACATAAGGGTGAGTTGTTGTACAGTTGTAGGGAGTATTATCTGTTACATAAGGGTGAGTTGTACAGTTGTAGGGAGTATTATCTGTTACATAAGGGTGAGTTGTACAGTTGTAGGGAGTATTATCTGTTACATAAGGGTGAGTTGTACAGTTGTAGGGAGTATTATCTGTTACATAAGGGTGAGTTGTTGCACAGTTGTAGGGAGTATTATCTGTTACATAAGGGTGAGTTGTTGTACAGTTGTAGGAGTATTAACCTGTTACATAAGGGTGAGTTGTACAGTTGTAGGGAGTATTATCTGTTACATAAGGGTGAGTTGTACAGTTGAGTATTATTGTTACATAGGGTAGTTGTACAGTTGTAGTATTATCTGTTACATAAGGGTGAGTTGTTGTACAGTTGTAAGGAGTATTATCCGTTACATAAGGGTGAGTTGTACAGTTGTAGGGAGTATTATCCGTTACATAAGGGTGAGTTGTACAGTTGTAGGGAGTATTATCTGTTACATAAGGGTGAGTTGTTGTACAGTTGTAACTAGTATTATCCGTTACATAAGGGTGAGTTGTACAGTTGTAGGGAGTATTATCTGTTACATAAGGGTGAGTTGTACAGTTGTAGGCAATATTATCTCTTACATCAGGGTGAGTTGTTGAATAGTTGTAGGGATTATTATCTGTTACATATGCTGAGTTGTTGTACAGTTGTAGGGAGTATTATGTGTGACATGAGTGAGTTGTTATACAGTTGTAGGGAGTATTATCCGTTAGATAAGGATGAGTTGTTGCACAATTGTAGGGAGTATTATCTGTTACATAAGACTGGTACAGCAGGTGAGCAGGATACCATAATGTGTCCTGGTTTCAGATATCGGCACAGATACTGGAAAATTTGCTGGATCGGGTATCGGTTCCCTGATATCAGGCGGGTTGATTTTGGTGTAGGAGGTTTAAACTTATTTACAAATCTTTTCAGTAATTATTTGAAGGATAAATAACAGTTACATAATACAGTTGGTTCTCTTGTGTAATAAATTAACAGTTTTAAGAAAATAAGAGAAATGTTCCACCCCAGACACTTAAAATCATAGTATTGGTGTCAGTATCAGAGCATCGCTAACCATAACTCTACAGGCTGGCGGTGTAGTGTACCATAATCATGTACCCCAGGCTGGAGCTGGAGCCGAACAGAGCGGGAGGGGGGCGGGGCAGATGAATGTGGGCGTGGCAGGGGGCGGGGCAAAGGAGGACAGCTCTCACACTTGACAGAATACAGACATGGAAGCGCTTTGACAGGCAGAACAAGGAAGAACAGTGCGCCCCATGTGTGCCGTTACCTCATTCATTAACCTCTCACGCGCCTACACTGTGTTACGAGTGCTTTTTAGAGTATTTTTATGCAAATTTGGCAACTGTCAGTGCTGAAGAATATATTAAAGATGCTACATTATGCAAAACTGACCTTTATAGAGTTAAAACATCTAGTGTAGTTTTATTGGCAGGCCTGGAATTGGAGCTGGGAATCGCAGGGTCCACGATTCAATGCAATACTTGATACTTGACATGGCTGACGATACGATGTCATCACAATATATCGATACATGCAATAATCAGTCACTATTTAACAGCAGTATTTCTTTGTTAAACCACTACTTGTGTTAAATCAATATGGAATAAACCAACTATTTAACCAGTAAAATGAAGAATATGTCGAAACGTACACACAAACAAGGCCCCTTTCTCTGAACAAGCATCAAAATTGTAGAACTGTCACAAAATAATTCAGTAAAATATAGCAAGAAGTACTCTTGGCGATATATCGATACAGCAGCTCATGATAATACTGTACCACCAAATGTAGTATTGCCTCTAAGCTGTAGAGACATTGGCCTTCTGGTCTGTGTACATTATAACATGCATTGTATATTTAAATTTGTATTCTTCTTATTATATACTTACTTAGCGTATTTTTCGTACTATAAGTCACGCTTTTTTTCATGGTTTGGGTGTTTCCTGCGACTTATACTCTGTTGTGACTTGTATATTAAAATTTTCACACTGATAGCCATGAGAGGGTGCGTTAGGCTTGTGTGCCAGTGTCAGTACTCCTATTACTCCTGTACCACTTGCTCTACTGCGCATGTCTCCTGCAGAAAGAGCTGCTGTTCTGTCTGTATCATGTCAGTCAGTGGCACCATGACTTCTGTACCAATGAAAATTTTAAATGAAGTGGCTTCAGTGACACCGAAATCATCCTGTCAGGATTCAGAAAGGCCAGAATAATTCTAACTGATGCCGAGTCTGACAACAGCTACACAGAAGACCAAGCGGTGCTCCGTTTACCTCCGTAGGTCGCGAAGTTGCTCAGAAGTGACACCGAGGATGAAGAATTGAATGGATTTAGTGATTTGGAGTGAGATGGAGAGTTTGGTAAACTTGTTCTGTTCTGTTGTTTATGTTATAGTAAGAACTGTTCATATGTGATGATAACAGCCTGTTGTTCTCTGTTCTGTTATTACTATAATTTGCCTTTCAACATGAAATGTCGGTTCCTGGTCTCTGACTTTATAAAATAAATTTCGCCCAAAAAGTGCGATTTATAGTCCGGTGCAACTCGTATGTTTTTTTTCGTCTTCAGTGCGCAGTTTTTGACTGGTGCGACTTGTAGTCCGAAAAATACAGTACTATGAAATCAGGATGTAATGATATCCAAATCTCTCGGTACAATACTTTCATGGTATGCATCTCACGGTACGATATTTATTGCGATATTTTGTGGAATCTAACAAAACTGTTAATATGCTACTTTTCTTAATCCAAAGAATTAAGACTTAAAAATGCTTTGAACCGTTATTTCTTCATGGAGTCTGCACTGAAACAGAGCAAAGGATCATGGTCTATGTAGTTGCTCCACCATAAGTATTAATTTAAGCGAAGAGACTTGTCATTCGATATATATTGACGATACGATATTACGATATTTCGGTTATCATTGCATCCTTACTATGAACCAGATATTATGTGTTCTTAATAAAGATTGAAATGAATAGACTGGTGCAGTGCTGGGGAAAAAATATTATATATAGATATTGGACCGATACCGATATCTAGGAAAACTCTTCAATGTCACCAATACTGATACTGAAGCCTGTGTAATATATTTCCCATCCCTCCATAGACAAAAATACAAAAAACTAACTTCTACAACAAAATCCTGATCACTATTAAATGTTAGAGATGAAACAGAAAAGTCAGATCTTCTCAAAATGGTCTCTAATCCAGGCAGATGAGATGTGAAGACAGTGAGTTAAAAACATTTCTTTGGGGGAGTTATGCAGACAGCTTTGGTCATGAAATATGGATGCTTCAGCTGCTGACTTAGACACAACAAAAGGCATCAGTGGAGCTTAGCCAATACTCAGCACTTTTCCCTAAGTACTTGAACTACATTTATACACTCAAAATAAGTTCACCCAGCATCAAGCGTTTTAGAGCTTTGCACAGGCACCTGAAAAAGACACGATTAGGCAGACTATGCAAAAAAAAAGAAAAAATAGAAGGAAAAAAGTAAAGAAAAAAAATGAAAACATATAGAAAAAATAAGAAAAAAATAGATAATGTAAGATTGGAAAGATTTGGGTTGGCCACATTATGTAACCCTTTTAGCCAAAAATATATTAAAATAAAAAAAAAAATTATTATGTGAGTGTTTGTTTTTTTATCTATTTAGTTATTTCATATGGAGAAAAATCCCGCACACCATCTTACTTGCAAATTGTGAGATTTATTAGGACAAACCGT